GAATGAAATTCTATAGGGGACTTTTGGAAAGTTTCTGTGCTTCTAAGAAGCAGATACAGGAAGTGTCCATTTCTTCCTCTAGATGTTGTGTCTGGTGAAAACATCTTATTACCACAAAGGGAACTGCAGGAGGACAAAGGCAACATCTTGAGGACAGAAAAGCAGAGAGATGAAGACAACCTGTGTTCTCAGTACCTCAAACTGCTCATTGTACTACACCTGGAGCCCACAACTTCTGGGATTCCCATTAGTGATATGATAGATTTCCTTGTGTGATTGAACCTAGGTTTTCTATTACTTGTGGCTAAAGCATCCTAACCAACTGAGCATTGGACTGGAATTCTTGCATTAGCTGAGGAGAGCTTAGAGCTAATAAGACTTGGGTATTAAGGAAATGTAACTGGTATCGTCACAGGCTGGTGGTACCAGGACAATGGGGTCTATTCATGCTTCTAGACATGTCAGGTGTGACTCTTACTTTACAAACCAGCTGAGCTAGGAATATTGTGTTCCCCTGCTTTTTCCCTTTAATTAAAGTAAATCTGGCTCTGAGCCCCCAATCCTGTTCAGTGGGCAGATAACTAATCTATCATTCTGGGAGCTCAACCCCCTGAAAAATTGTGCCCAATTGGGCAAAAGTGTAGAGGCATCACACCCACTCATTGGCCAGTAGTCCACACTGATTTTTCCTTTTGCTTCAGGTCTCATCCAGTTTGGTGATTTCAGTGTTTCTGAGTCCAACTTTGGGATCCAGGGATCTTTGTTGAGGCTGGAATCACAGTGCCTAAGGCCTCCTGTCCTCTGAGATCAGGCCCTTCCCCAAGACTCTGATGGGTTCTGTTCTTACAATCAGAGTTGTTCTTTAACTTTCTGGTCTCTTAGCATACTCCTTTCTCTTTCCTTGTCCTTCAAAGCCCTCCCTCCTCCATCCCCCTTCTCCCTCAGGGTGTCTGCATCATCTCAATGAGCCAGGAAGACAGAAGATGTATTAGCTTCAAGCAACTTCTGTTTTCAGTCCTGCAAGAATTCCCAAGGCAAGAAAAAACAAAAAGGCTGACTAGCAGTGCCTGCTTGGAAAGAGAAGGCAATGGAAAAATACAGCAAATTTATTAATATGGCAATTATCTTGTCACACACAGATACCTCAGAGGTGACAGGGGAGAACTCAGCCCAATAGAGGGCTGGCTCCGTGCTGAGTGGCAGCCAGCCCAACCATTGAGAGTGGGACAAAGAGAAAGAGGGTGGATCCTGAGCGCCATGGGGGAAATTTCCTGGTAGCTTGTAAAACCTGCCTCTCAGTCTGGAATTGGAAGCCTGGCGAGCAGGTGCCTCTTCCCAGCTGCCTCTTTCCTACCTCATTCCTGATTGTTCTTGAAAATGCATTCTTATTCCCATAGCATTCTGACTCTGCCTTGTGGTCACACAGGGGGCTCCCATAAATGCTAACCTACGAGGGAGTGGGAAGGATCAAACGAGATGATGTACATGAAAGGTCTTTGACTTGTTCAATATGGAGGGAGGTGTTGGCATTTCGCCCAGGGCTGGAGCCGCTCCTGGTCTTCCCCAGCCTCCTTGGTTAAGGTCACCTTATGGCCCTGGTGGTTCAGGTCAGCTGGTATCTACCACCCTCCAGGGGGCTGGGGAACCCCTGGGCCTCCAGACTTGCCCTCAGGTAAACAAGGGCAGCAGAAGTACAAGCTAGATTTATTTATTTTGAGAGAGAGAGAGAGAGAGAGAGAGAGAAGCAGAGGGAGAAGCAGGCTCCCAAGGAGCAGGGAGCCCGACGCGGGACTCGATCCCAGGACCCTGGGATCATGACCTGAGCCGAAGGCAGACGCCCAACCATCTGAGCCACCCAGGCGCCCTGCAAGCTAGATTTAGATAGTATCTTCCCACCTGTAGCTGAAAGGACCTTTGAGACCATTAAAGCCAACTCCCTAATTTAACAGATAAGAGCCCTGGGGTTAGAAGGCCAGGGGACTTGACTAAGGTCATGTGAAGATATAAGGGGGTCAGCACCAGGGTGCGGGCTCTTTGTTCCTAGCCCTTCTCTTATCATCCTAATATCCTAGCCTGGTTCTGCCCCTGATTGTCCCCACTGGTGGTTTTGAATGATTGACCTGCACTATCCTGTTGCGGCCCTACCTCCTGCAGAAGGCTCTCTCCAGGCTTGGGGGCTACTAGATGATTAACCCAAAGACAAGAAAGGTGTGTTGAGCCCACCGGACCCAGATCTCGGGCTGGGCCTTTACTCATTCTCACTGTCATCCTCAGAGCATTTCTGGAAGGAAATGGGATTGTGGGTTATTCAGAAGACAGTACTGGGCATTTCCTAGTTTATAGGTATCTTCTGGGCATACTCATTTGCGACTTTCTGACCAGAAGCATTTCAGTCTGAACCTTTAATCAAACCGTGGAGCAAACAGGTGCGGGGGTTTTTGACTCCTAGTGTCTTGATTGGTCTTCCAAACACCTCAGGGCGTTCTGATGCAGGTAACCTATAAAGCACACTATAAGAAACATTGGTGTATGGGCTGGTGAGCTTGGGCAAACTCCTTACCCCCCATAAAATGGGGATAAGAATATCTACTTCATAGCGTGGTTGTGAGGATTATATAAGATGAGCGCAACACCATGCACCTGGGAAGCACTCAACACGTGCTCACTGTTACTGCTATTATGATTATTTTAAGTGGGCCCCTGTTCAGCTAGGCCCCCTGCTAATGCTGCCTGCTTCAGATCTCTGCGCAGGCCGAGAGATCTGTTAGTCCTGTTCTTCACTCCTCTACTTCCCAATCCTGTCAACTAGATCTCTTACCACTTACTGCCCAGCATAGACGAAAATGCCAGGACTGTCTCCACCCCCCTCCCCCAGATACACACACACACACACACACACACACACACACACACACACACACAAACACAACCTGTGCTTCGGCTCTGCACATTGCCTCTTGTAAAATCTGGTTGTCAAGGTGTTGAGGGTGTTAATAGAAGTTGTCTTTGGGTGGGCGAGATTGGAGGTGGGTTTTTTTTTTATTTCCTTTCTTGTCTATATTTTTTATTTGTTTGTCATGGGCATGTATTGCATTTGTACCAAGAAAATATCGTTTTTAATTTTTATAAAATCTACTCACTATCTCTAGAAAACTCTCCCTGGATGGTTCCACTGCATTCTGAGCACTCCTTTGAACTTCCTGTCCCCTCAGCACTTCTCTGTGCTCTGTGCTACATTTGTGTGCTCTTGTGAGTTGGTCTGTAGATGCTCTCAAAGGGGTTTTGCACCTGTGAGCAGGCAGTAGGCACCTGAGGGTAGAGGCAGGATCATCTTTTGTTTGACTTTTTCTTTTTTTTGACAAAAGTTTTGAAAAAGCTTGTTTCTTTCTTTCTTTTCTTTTTTTTTTAAAGTAGGCCCCACGTGGAGCCCAGCCTGGGGCTTGAACTCACAACCCTGAGATCAAGACCTGAGCTGAGATCAAGAGTCAGACACTTAACTAACTGAGCCACTCAGGTGCCCCTCAGCTTGTCTGTTTCGTAGCTGACTTCAGCTCTCCACCCTTCTCTCTGTGCCATTGAGCCCATGACTGAGAGAAGTCAAGGGTGCTTGGTTAGAGCTGGGCCTGATCCAGCCAGCTCAACTTCCCATTGTTCTCATTTTACAGTCCCTGACACTAGAGCTAGAAGGTAGAGTGCAGCTTCTGGGGAACCCTGATGCATAGATAGGGCAGCTTTCAGCAGGGATTGGCTGTGTCCCGGGGCTTGGGGCCTGTCTTAGCTCAGGCATGAAGTTAGCCTAGATCTTGCAAAGTCTCCACACAGCTACTTGTGTGACACGGAGTCTAATCTAACAGCCATGGGCAGGAGAGAGCGAGGGCCACACAGTATAAGGAAGTGCTGGGAGCGTCCTACGAAGGGGAACAGTCTGGGAAGTCTTCAGAAAGGAGAGAAGTCTTGAATAGACCTGAAGAGACAGGTGAAGACCTGGAGGGGAGGGATGGGAAGAAAGGCAGGAGTGGGGTGCAGTACTGAGGAGGCATATGGGCTGGAGGTTAGGAGCTGACTGATGGGTCAAGTGCTTAAGAGGTCAAGCTCTGGAGTCAAAAGACCCGCATTTGAGTCATTAACAAACTATGTGATCAAGGGAAAGTTTCCTGCCTTCAACCAGTCTGGATTTTCTTATCTGAGTAATACAGCTAAAGGCAGTGCCTTCCTATTAGAATTTTTATGAGAAATTAATGAAATATTGCTTATAAAACGTATTTTAAACACACAATAAATGCTAGCTAAGGTTACTGATATTATTTATTATAATCATTGTAAGTGTATACTTGGCATTTGTTTTCCAGAAGAATCGCATTGCACATCCATTCAGGCCCTTCTTTCCCATGCATTTGTTCACCTGCATTCATTCATTTAGTGCATATATTAATATTATATATATGTACATTATTATACATAATAATAAAATAACTAACATTTAAATAGCATACTCTATGTGCCAAATATTGTTCTAACTACCTTATATATATGAAACTCATTTGATCTTCCCAAAGATGCTTTTTTTAAAAAATTTTATTTATTTGTTTGTCAAAGAGAGAGCACAAGCAGAGGGAGAAGCAGGCACCCTGCTTAGCAAGGAGCCTGATGCAGGGCTGGATCCCAGGACCCTGGGATCATGACCTGGGCTGAAGGCAGACGTTTAACCGGCTGAGCCACCCAGGCATCCCCCCAATAATGCTTTGAAGTAGGTACTGTTATCATCTACATTTTATCTAGGATGAAATAAAAATATAGAGAAGTTAAGCAGTTTGTCCTAAGTCACACAATTAGTAAGTGCCCAAACTAGAATTTTGGTTCCATCAGAATTCTGGCTCTTAACTCCTTAACCCGTGCTATGTTTAAAGACTCTGTGAAGAACTGAAGGACAAAAGTCTGAATTAAACACTAATCTGCAGGGAGATAGTAACCAGCAGGAGCAGCAAGATACTTACACTAAGATCGTACCCCTCCAAGGGTGGCCATGCTGCCTGGAAGTCGAGGCAGAATCCATGCAGGCCTCTGGACATGCCTGGATGGTCAGCTGTGACCAGCTTGTGTATCAGATGATGTCCCTGTGGAAGGTTCTCCGAGACCTCATTAACTTAGTGCATTGCTGATACCTCTTGGCCACAGCTGGTGCCACCTGTCCCATGGAAGGCTGGATGACATAACATGGGTAGATGAATATAAACCCACCCCACTACTGGTTGAGAAAATAACTCAAAGTACAAAGCCTACTGCGTGTGGGTTGGGTCATTGCCCCATTGGGTTTTTGCATCATTCACTGGCTGGCCATCTATTTTTTAGTTTTGTGCTCTGTGCTGGATATTACACTGAAAACATGTTTTTCTGCCCCCTCCTGAGCACACTTCCAAAATCCCTAGGATTATTCCACTTAGCCCTTCCCAGCTTCGAACGGCTTATGCTTTAGTATAAAGATTTAGAATGTTGGTGCTAAAAAGATCCTAAATAGGGGTATCCTGGAGCTGGCTCATTCTAACTGGTTAGAACTGATTATTAAATTTTCTGGAATTCTGCAAGCCAATTGCTAACAAAGCCGTTATCAAAAATTGCATCAGATAAACTTACAATTAAATAAATTATATTAAAAGTGAAGGTACTAAATACTCAACACTCATTGCTTCGTAATTACTTTAGCATAGGGTATGCTGCTGCATGCCCGACTCCGCGTTCAGTGATGTAACATTGGTGACTCGGGTGTAGCCATGGTGCTAGTATTTACACCACAGAAATCAGCAAACACTGCAAACCAGCAGCCCCTACTCCCCAGACTATTGTCAGACATCTCCCTGCACACCGGCCCTAGAGATAATCACATCTCGTGATTTTTGCCGTGTTTCAGCCAAGGAGATCCTGTGGGAGTCCTTGGTTGCTGCCTGAAGGAGGAAGCAGAGGAGGTGTTGGGCAAAGTGAGAGCAGGGTGGTGTTCTCCCCCCCGCCGCCCTGAGGCCCTAGCCTGGAACGAGGCCAGTGACACGTTTGTTTGTTTGTTTTTAATATAAACTTATATACAAGATTTTGTCCAAGTAGTTCTTTCCACACTTCAAAACAATGGAAAGTGACTAATCTCATCTAATCTTATTTTACAGTTTGGGAAACAGAAATTTTTACAGTTTAGATCCAGAGGAGGGAAGTGACTTAACTCTAGGTCTTGCAGAGCCCAGTCCACGGAGTTATGGGAGGAGGCCAACGCCATGGCTCCTCATAGCTGGAGGCAGACTCCTGCAGAGACTCCTGGGGGAGCTGCCCTCACGGCTCCTTCCAGATGGGTGGTCCTCCCAGAGCCGTGTCTACTGTGCCCCTTCGTGCCCTAGAGCTGGGTGGACTCCCAACCAAGCCTTGCAGGTGGTTTCCCCTCATAACAGAAACCCTTCCTGATACCTCTGCAGAACTGGCTGCTTTTCATATTCCCTGGTTTGAGGCCAAGTTGAAAATCTTACCCTCCCAAACAGGTTTTTTAAAATTTGCCTGACTTTCGATTGGGGAAATCTGCTTAAAGCCCTAACAAACAAACAAAACAAACAGCCATTTTGTTTTTTATTAAGCAAAGGCAGAAATGGATGTCAAAAAGCCTGCTGGAGAGCATGGCGTGGTGGCAGTAGGGGATGTGGTTGATAGGGAAGAGTGGAAGGCAGGCAGAGTGGGGAGAGAAGATAAAAAGAAACCTTTAAAAGAATAATTTTTAGGGGTAAGAAAATTTACCTACAGGTGTCAAGGAGCGTCCAGTTTCCTGAGACTTCTGAAGTCTTGCCAATTGCTTCCTTCTAGCATAAGCTGATCACTTGTTATCTGTCAGTCATGCTTTCTTAGGCAAACCCCATTACACAGTGCCCAGTGAGTCCATAGATGTGTTGCACAAACACATCTTTGTGGTAACACCACAATGAAGAATTCTGCAATAAATGTTGTATGAGTTTGCTAGGGCTACCATATTGAAATAGCTAAAGTCCAGGTGGCTTAAACAACAGAAATTGATTTTCTCACATTTCTGGAGGTTCAAAGTCCAAGATCAAGATGTGGACAGGCTTCGTTTTTCCTGAGGCCCCTCTCCTCATCCTGCAGATGGGCAGCTTCTTGCTGTGTCCTCACATGGCCTTCCTTTGTGAATGTACATGTCTAACGTCTCTGTGTGTCCAAATTTCCCCTTTTAAAGATACCACATTAGATTAGAGCTCATCCTAATGTCCTCATTTTACCTTAATCACCTCTTTAAAAATTTATCTCCAAACACTGTTACTTTCTGAGGTAACTTAGATGTCTGAGGTAATTCATACATTGAGGTTAGGACTTCGACTTATAAGTTTGGGGGATATAATTCAGCACATGACAAGTACTTAGGAACCGTTGATCCTATACTACATGAAAAGGACCCTAATCACATACTTGGGTATCAATGGTGCCCCCTCATTGACATGGAGAGGCTTTATCATGTACACAAACTCACGGCCATGCATTGGACTGAGAGCTCATCAGGTGCAATGCTTTAAAAAAAAAAAATCTCATGTTGGCTTAAAGAATTTTGAAAGTTCTCTCTCCTCCAAATTGCCTTTTTGTTTGTTATCAGGAGTTTATTTTCATAGGTGGGAAGTCCACAAGGGATTGTCAATATTAGCAGAAGCTACTGATGGCATGGAAACAGGTGCAATGTCTGAACCTGGCTGGAAGTAGTAAGGAGAGGTCATTGGTCAAGGTGAGCAGGGCAGGTGAAGGTCACACTGTCCCACCTAAGACATGTATTGAGTATCCTTCCTCTTGTGCTGTGTCACCCATTCCTTCATTCTTTCCGGAATCTTTAGTCCTTGCCAGGCATCTGGATTGGGCTGGCAACTGCAGATACACAGGTGAGTGATGTTATCAGTCCCTGCCTTTGTCAGTTTACAGCTCAGCTACGTGAACTATTAAAAACATGATTCAAAGAAACACAGCCCTTTCCTTACAGAGATGATGGGACAGGGATTAGGCAACCATCTCCAGGGCCAGGTTGTGCCTGTTAGATCTGCCTAGGCAAACATGGGTGCCCACTTCCTGCTTTTCTGTACCCAGGAAACTGGTGGTGAGGCACTGGTTCAGTGTCTCTGACCATGTTTGCCAGGAAATAGCAGACAAAGCAGACCACAGTCTCCTTTCACATTTCAAGATGGTGCTTCTGGTGTGCATTCTTCCACATGGGAGGAGCTCTGTTGGTGCAACACTCCTGCCTTCCCTCCATCACTTCACATGCTCCTTCCCAGGGGAGGTGGAAGGACAGAGCTGATCGGCAAGCTTGGAAGAAGAAACTTGATGCTGCAGGGACCAGTTCCCACCTCTTCACTTTCTTTTGGGAGTAAGTTGCCCCCAGGGAATGTTTTCTGCTCTGCATTTCTAGGGACAAAGTTCCCCTGCTGGGAAGGAATGTGGTTTCCCAGAATGACCTGCTGGGTAAATTGGCTTGATGTTGGAGTTCAGTGTTAGGGAGCTTACCTGCCTACAGGTTATACTTGCTAATACGGCTTTATCAGAAATAGGGTAATGGTGTGAAGTTGATATGCCAATTTTTCTTTCTCTTGTTTCTCCATTGATTCAAAAATCTGGTAAGAAGGGTGCCGGGATGGATTAGTAGATTAAGCGTCTGCCTTCTGCTCAGGTCCTGATCCCGGGGTCCTGGCATCAAGTCCCGCATTGGGCTCCCTGCCCAGAGGGGAGCCTGCTTCTCCCTCTCCCTCTGCTGCTCTCTCTCTCTGTCAAATAAATAAACAAAATCTTAAAAAAAAAAAAAAGCATCTGGTAAGGAAACTAGAGCTGGGAACATGGATTCAAACTCTCCTTGTGCTTCTGTCTGTCACAATGTTGGTATGACTGTTGGTATGACTATCAATTGCTCTTGAGGCATTTTACACTTATGTCTCATGTGATCCTCACAACAACCTGTTGACAAAGACAGGACTGGATTTATTAGCTGCGGTGCTAAGGCTGCAACTATTGGTGCTTCCAACCTCTTCCATATGATGACACACACAGGAAACCGAAAAAAAAAGCATGCATCTACATATATATAAATCTATTTCTGTGTCTCTTCCCATATTCATACCTCACCAAGAAAAATGGATGAGGCTGTTGGCACCAGAGGTGATGAGCTCAGAGATTCTGGCTGCCCTAGGCCTTGCCTGCCTATTCTGAGTGTTAAGAAGAGCCGTATCTCAGCACCTGTAAACCCATTCCTTGCCCACCAGTTGTGAAGTTTTAGCTTAGAGAAGTATGCTAGCTAGTTCAAGGCCACAAAATTAATATACAGAAATTTGAACCGAGATTCTCTGAGTCCATGTATAAAGAGCCTCAAACAGTCTGAAATGGGGGAGGCGCTTGTTACCATCATTCATACTCATCGGGCACAGAGAAGTTTCAAAGGGATGGCCTCTAGTTCCAAACATTCAATCCCTCTCCAGGGATGTAGTCTGCCTCCTATCAGGTCTCCTCCTTTCTGAACCAGAGCAGATTTTTCTAGCTACCTTCTAGAGAAGGGAGTTCAGGGGAGTCTGCCTTAAGATCTCCTGATCCGGTCTAGTGCTCCGCCATGGGGAGGCAGTATGTATTGGATAGCCAAGGCGCTTCCCTGCTTCCAATTACAGGCAAAGCCCTCATCTCTAATGGGATCAAAATGGTAGAAAGTTCATTAATTTCAAAAATTATTTAAAGGGTAACTGTGAGAAACATACCTTAGACTTACTTTAACTTAAAGCATATATAGGTATGTTCAGGCACCATTTAAAAAAATTTTTTTATTGTTATGTTAATCACCATACATTACATCATTAGTTTTGAATGTCGTGTTCCATGATTCATTGTTTGTGCATAACACCCAGTGCTCCACGCAGAATGTGCCCTCTTTAATACCCATCACCAGGCTAACCCATCCCCCCACCCCTCTCCCCTCTAGAACCCTCAGTTTGTTTTTCAGAGTCCATCGTCTCTCATGGTTGGTCTCCCCCTCCGATTTCCCCCCCTTCATTCTTCCCCTCCTGCTATCTTCTTCTTTTTTTTTTTTCTTAACATATATCGCATTATTTGTTTCAGAGGTACAGATCTGTGATTCAACAGTCTTGCACAATTCACAGCACTCACCATAGCACATACCCTCCCCAATGTCTATCACCCA